CCCTCACATTTACTGACTAGCCTCCATTTAAAACAGCTTGCATTTGGCCCTGGCCGGTGTGGCTCAATGGACAGAGCGTCGACCTGCAGACCAAAGGGTCCCGGGTTCAATTCCGGTTCAAGGGCACGTACCTCGGTTGCAGGCTCCTCCCCGGCCCGGGGCCCTGGTTGGGGCGTGTGCAGGAGGCAACACACGGATGTGTTTCTCTCACATCGATGCTTCTCTCTGCCTCTCCCTCTCCCTCCCACTCTCTCTAAAAATCAACGGGAAAACACCCTCAGGCGAGGATTAAAAAGGTCACAAATAAAACAACTCGCATCTGTCCACCCAAAGCTACAGGTGAACACACTGCCACCGCCTTGGAAAACAGCCTGGGGTCCCTCAAGAACCAAGCCCCCAGTTACCCTCTGAGCCGGCGATTCTACTGCGGGCATGCGCCCCGGAGAATGGAGACCCTCCCCCACCCGTCCGCAGACACGGGCTCGTGAAAAGACACAGCGGCAGCACCCACCCCGGCCCCCAAGAGGTGCCAACGACCCACCTCAGACCCACCGGCTCAAACCCACAGGCTCAGACCCACAGGCTCAAACACGGACGCATGGAGCAACGGAACGAGGTCGTCAGGAGTGGAATATTACTCGGCCATGAAAAAGGAACGACGCACCGAGTCACACCACAACACGGTGAACTCGGAAACGGGCCGCAGTGCGAGGGGAGCCAGACACCAAGGCCCCGTCCACGTGCCCCGTTTGTAAGAAATGCCCACACCAGGCAAAGCCACAGGGGCAGAAAGATCAGCTGGTGGCCAGGGGCTGGGGGTGGGCTGTGGAGTGACTCAGGGGTGTGAGGTTGTTGTTTTGGGGGGGCGGGGGACGAGGGTTAATGGACATGTTCTGGGATGAAATGGTGGTGACGGCTGCGTGAACTGTACTTGGAGGGCTGAAATGGATGGTGTGTGAGTTACATCCCAGGAAAGCTGGTACCAAAGCAGCAATAAAGAAGAAACTTAGTGCAGCCAACTAGGCGATCAAGAACTACATAGTAAGTACTGTTTCGAAGAACAATAACGTGACACCGTTCTGTGCTTTATAACGTTTTAGCTGAAACATAAAATTCTGTATCTGGCCAGGCTGGTGTGGCTCAGGGGTTGAGCATTGACCTATGAACCAGGAGGTCAGGGTTCGATTCCCGGTCAGGGCACATGCCCACGTTGTGGGCTCGATCCCCAGTGGGAGGTGTGCAGGAGGCAGCCGATCCATGATTCTCTCTCATCACTGAAGTTTCTCTCTCTCTCGCTCTCTCTCTCTCCCGTCCTCTCTGACATCAATAAAAAAGTATCTTAAAAATTCTGTATGTGTGAATGAAACGCTGTAGGGATACCAAGTAAGTTTTTACAGAGCACATAAGCCCGGCATCCGTGTCCCACGGATTCTCAATGAACTAGGCCCGTGTCCTGCCTCGGTTTCCCCGGCTCCACCCCCAGGCAGGGGGCAGGTGGGAGGGGAGCAGGAACCACCCCTCAAACGCTCTCAGGAGGCCTCACCCAGAGTCGGGCGGG